ATCACCATTTACAACCTCCCCTGCTGATTTCCTATAAGCAATGTGGAAAACTGGATTCATTTCAATGACCATTTGATTCACTTAGCTACAGTGATTTGCTTTAAAACCATAGCAAAAATTAGTCATGTAGCAGCCAACTTGCTTAGCAACTGAGATTCTAATCTTTGTTGTGATTGTACATCATGGACTACCTGTAGCTCTTTTTACTCAATAATACAATATAGTGCAGGTGAGCAGATTTTTTTTCAAAGGGATGCTGCATTAAGAATGAACAACATCCCATTCTTCAACAACCCTTCGTGCTTTAGACACTTTCCACTGATATCTTTGGAAGCTCTTTTAAAATTTGCTGTCAAGGAAAGGTTTTTTTTATCTTTAATTAACTGCTAATTAGAGGTTATACTTTTCTAGCCTGAGGGGTTAGGGCCCAGATGGATCTCTAATAGCCATTTTATGCTCCTTAAGCAGGAGGTAACTCACATTTAGTGAAAACTGAACAAATCAGGCAACTGAAGATGCCAGATTATGCATTATGCTAGGAATGAGGTTATGATGAATGTACTGTATATCCACAAAATCCTGGGACGATCTCACGACAAGGCAGCAAAGAGTCTGATGGTATCATCAGAATGACAGTGATCTTAGGCTAATTTTCAACTGTATGAATGCTTAAGAAAGATGTAAAAGGAATAAAAAATTGGGAACTGATCTGACAGGAATGAAAGATTGGTTCCTATAAAGAATACAAGCCTGTTTATTTGTCTTGAGGTGGTGTTGCTTCAGAATTAGGTTGTGTTTCTCCAAATCTTCAGAGATGTTATAGCAGCCCCATGGTTATGCTATACCTTAATAACTTGGAAAGTATTTGCATTATTCGGTAGTTCCAAGTTCTTCAAAGGGCAACAAGGAACTTCCTTTCACTTATAGCTGAGAGTTAGTCAAGTAGGTGATAATCTTCACACTATTCCCAATAGCTGCTAGTTCCTAACAAACTCCAAGCCTTTCACTTTCCACTCTAGCAGTATTTTCTAGGACCCAAATATATATGTTAACCATAAAAAAATATAATTGTAACATATACATATACAAGGCTGTCGATCCGAGCTCCTAAATCACAAGACAGATACATGAAGATATTTTTAAAATATTTTAATGAGTGCAACTATTCTGAAGAGTTTTTCTACAAAAAACAGAAATGTTATATTGGTGAACCTGGAACTATCTACTTGAAGATAAAATATGACTTCAGAAATCAGGAAGATCTTAAACTTCTGTTGCAATTTGGAGTATTCATACATCTATTTAAGATAAACTTGCCAAAGTATTTTTAGGCTGTCCTTAGTACAATAGTTTCAGCATATAAGGAACAAACACCGTTCACAGTACTGTAATACCTTTAATGCACATCTAAGTATTGGTGAATTAAGACTAAATGGGTCTGGATCAGTTCTTCCAGCAAATCAAAGCAACATGGATCTTAGACACATTTTCCTCATAGTGTTGCCTTTATATTGTGCCCCCTAGGCTACTATAGGACTCTGCCAATGTTCTTTCTCCCAAATCCTCTTTGAACTTTGACTGGCTTCTTTCCAAGAATACTTAAATCTGAGGACATAGATGCAAGCATGTCATATCTGTTAGAAATAACAGCTGTGAATAAAGGATTAAAAGCATCATACGATTACATGTTTGGAACCATGCCCTTAGCATGTCTTGTTGTCAGTTGAAAGTAACACGCCAGGAATCTTTTGGTGTTACAAACCATGGAATGATTGAATTGCGGCTTCATCACATTTAAAATGAAGTCATTGTATAATTATGTTTCTCATATGCTAAATTGATGGGAGGAGGCTAAATTATCAAATAAAGAAAGTCAATGCATCCACCTGATTATTCATGAGTGAAAAAGTGGCTGAAATCATGGACAGCAAACAAATACACCTCACATCTAAAGAGAAAAGAATGCAGATGCTCTCAAGGAATTCCTTACCTCAGGTGTACTCAAAAAGGAGCTTTGTTACACGAAAAAATAATCATTGGCAATAGTTGTCATTAATTGCAATGGAAGTACTAAGGAAAATCTGAAATTTTTTTCAGCTATGGTTTTTAAACCTACATTCTTCCTTTAAAAGTGGCACTAGCACAAGTAGCATCCATGCTATCTATTCAGAAGCATACAAGTATAGAATTATTTTTTGCAGGTATATAGGACTATAACGAGGGGAGAAATGCAGCAGGTTCTGACAGGTTCTGGAGAACTGGTAGCGGAAATTTTGAGTAGTTTGGAGAACCGGCACATACCACCTCTGGCTGGCCCCAGAGTGGGGTGGGAATGGAGATTTTGCAATATCCTTCTCCAGGAGTAGGGTGGGAATTGAGATTTTGCAGTATCCTTACCCAGGAGTGGGGTGGGAATGGAGATTTTGCAATACCCATCCCAGGAGTGGGGAGGGAATGGAGATTTTGCAATATCCTTCCCCCAGGAGTGTGGAGGGAATGGAGATTTTGCAATATCCTTCCCCAGGAGTGGGGTAGGAATGGAAATTTTGCAATATCCTTCCCCAAGGTTTGGGAAGGGAATGGAGATTTTGCAGTATCTTTCCCCAGGAGTGGGGAGGGAATGGAGATTTTGCAATACCCATCCCCAGGAGTGGGAAGGAAATGGAGATTTTACAATATCCTTCTCCAAGGAGTATGGAGGGAATGGAGATTTTGCAATATCCTTCCCCCAGGAGTGGGGAGGGAATGGAGATTTTGCAGTATCCTTCCCCTGCCATTCCCACCAAGCCACGCCCACAGAACCAGTAGCAAAAAAAATGAATTTCACCACTGACTATAACCCAATAGACTACTACTTTTCAGTAAATAAGTTGATAGTAAATGAAGTGCATATAATTCTCAACTTATAACCATTCATTTAGTGACTATTTGAAGTCACGATGGTATGAAAAAAAAGTTCATGTATTTATGAAGGCTGAAGCATTCCAGGGTCATGCAATCGCATCTGTGACCTTCCCACCCAGCTTCCAACAAGCAAAGTCAACAGGGAAAACTTGATGGTTGTGTGATTCACTTTAAAACTATAGTGATTCGCTGAAGGTCATAAAATTGAATGCAAGTCACTTAAGAACCACCTTGCTTAGCAACAAAAAATCTGATTTATTGTGGTCATAAGTCAAGGACAACCTGTAGATGCATTTTGGTGGAATTCAAGACTCACTGGCTGCAAGTCAATACAAATAGAAACACTTCTCCAAAGATAGCCATACACTAGTGTTGAAATATATCCATTGATTTTCTAAAGTTAAACTTTCAGTTGTATAATAATGAAAAAAAATAAACACAAATAAATCCTAGTTAGGAGCACCAGATAGCCCCTTCTCTATGACAGTACCTTTCAAATACCTTCCCATCATACATGGCTACTATATTTGATCCACCTAGGTGGAAATCATGGGTATTGCAGCCTAATCATCAAATATATTCAAAGAACATCTGTTTAAGAACATTTGTCCTGTGTCCCAAACTAGTTCACATTTGTATACAAAAAAGTGCACTTAGTTTTGGAAAGAGCTTAACTATTTCATATAGAAGACTATACAGAATAACTATTGGTATTTATTGATGACAAACACATACAAGTCCTCAAATTTCAATGTTCACCTATATTTGGGACCTTCCTATTTATTCAAATGTTATCTATTGTGAAACTTTCAGAATTTTGCTGAATTGGATATCAAATAAATGTTTGACATTTGCAAACGCAATCACTCCTTATTCAGCATTAATTAATTAATTAATTCCTACTGATCGACCTAGGCTGCTGATATGATTCAAGAATCAACCTCCTTGAATGAAAAGTTTTTGGGACAAAAGTGGCAGATATCTACTTCAAAGACTTCCAAGTCAAACAACAAGAATAAATAAGCAATCTTTCAGAAAAGAGAAAAAGCAAATTGATATTTTCAGAGGTATAGGACTGTTCTTAAATATGTATCGACAATTAAACCACTATATAATAGGCAACTTAATTAAAGATCAATACTGTCAACTACTATTTCATTAAAATCTGATTCTATTTCTAATTAATTAAAGAGTATTTTAAAAAAACTATTTTGGCTGATCAAGAGTTTCAGATTATTTTCACACATGATATTTACACCATTCCTCACCCCCACTCCCTTCCTGCATTTTAAGATTCTGGACTGCAAATTTGAAATGCTGGAAGGATTTTTATATGTCTCACACAAAGACTATGAAAAGTTCTGTTACATTCAATGTGCCAAGTTTACATGGCATTTTCACACAGAGAACTTCTGTATCTTTCAGTATTATTAGAAACTGGTTGGTGATGTGATTGAAAAGCATGCACGGCTTGAATTTTGTCAGTGATACTTTAATGGCTTTCTCTCTAAGTGCATCATGGCCACAAAATTGACCCCCCCCCCAAAAAAATGTGCAAACCTGAGCCAAAAGCAAATTAATAGCATCATTTCAATCCTAACCATATTTATTTGGAGATACCAGGGATCAGGGAGATCTATTCCCTTGTCTTAAGAGTGGGGGACCTGTAATCAGTTCTCCAGATGCTGCTCTATTATCATTCCTGACATCCAATCAAAATGGTTAAGTGATAGATACTAGACTTAATATCAGCAGTAATTCAGGAACATCTGGAGGGCCACACATTGAGAGTGTCAGCTGTAGACTTACAGTTTGGACACAACTTATCTTGGACTCTTAAAACTTTTTTGAAGTTTTAAAGTTGGGAGAAAAACTTTTTTTTAAAGGGAAGCTTGGGAGTGAAGTCCCAATGACAACTTTTCTAAAGGCCACGCCTTGTATATATGTTTGCGAAGAAAGCCAGGTTTTGGAACTACCCCTGAAAGTAACTTCCCGGAACAGTTGGACCTGCTCCATGATTTCCCCAGCTAGTGACTCTTCTTTGAGCGGATTTCAGGCTCACCCCTAGAACAGCTTATAAGGAGGAGGTAACATACCCACTTTCAGCTCTTTTCCAAAGACGGTCCTCTCTCCCAAGGCGGAGCAGTTCCACCGGCCATTGCGAAACTGGAATTGACACTCGTTGATTCCCATTTGGGAGCCTTCCCCGATCACGATGATGGCATCGGGTCTGCTCTGACAGATAGCTCTCTGCCTTGGAGCCAGTCCCGGGATTTTGTTACAGATGATACTGGCTCCCAAAGCCACGACTGAAGAAAGACCCCTAAGAAGAAAAGGAGAGGGAGGGAGGGAGAAGAGCGATCATGAATCCTCTCATCCGAGTCGGGATCAATCGATTCTCTAAAAGGCTTCTTCTTTTGGGGCGTCCCTCGGTACGAACTGGAAGTGGCAGGTTTCTCAACATCAAAGCCCGCCCGGATGCCGCTTAAGCCCTCGGAGCGGCTCATCTGCCCATCAAGCCTCGACAGCCGCTTATTCCACCGATTGTCTAGAGAGCAAAGCTTTCAGCAAGCCTAAGAGTGGGGGAAAGGGCGGGGGAATTTCTAACCACCCCCACACCCACCCTCGCAGAAATCGGTAAGGGGGCACTGAACCGGCCCGCCCGCCCGCTCTCCTCCCCCCTTTTGTTCTCCGGCGCCCTCAGTAACAAGTGTTCCCTAAAACTATCCGGCACCTACTCGAGCAGGGCCAGAAGCATCATTTTTGTTCCACCAGCCCCCCCGCGGCCAAGAACACCAGTACAGCGCTGCTTCGTCTGCTGGCGTCCGCTGTCCCTCCGGACTACGGCGCTGAAAAAAGGAGTTGGGTCAATTTAACAGGGAGGAGAGCCTCGCCTCCCTTCTCTCTCCCAATCTCCTCGTGCGGCGGGTGGGTGGGTGGGGGTGCTCTCTCGCTCTCTCGCTCTCTCTCTTATTCCGGACTTCCCCAACCGGGGGCCCTCCAGATGCAACGAATCGCGACTGGGAACTGGAGGGAAATGGTAGCCCAGAGTATTTGAAAGACGCTAATGGGAAGAAGGGGGCTTACAGGATTGGGTCCTGCTTACAGGATTAAGAAAGAGAGAGGAAGAGAGAGGTGCCAATGTGCGACCATCCTCTTGGCCTCCCTTTACATTTAAGACAACTAGCAACCCATCTAGGCATAGACTGCAGGGAGGGGGAGAGTGGTCAGGATCCTACTTCTAACCCCCTTCCAAACATCGGCGCGTAGGAATTCCACTGCCTTTCCCTTGCCTCGACCCCCCCCCCCCCGCGAGCAGTAGGTCTCCTCCCACGCACCTGGCAGATGATCCCAAGCCTGGCCAGCGGGGCAAGTAGTAGGCGCCCCTTGGCGAGCTGGCTTTCCCAACAGGATTTGTTCCGACGGTCCCAAAGCGGGGGCGGGGAGGCTCTTCCCTAACCCTGGCCGTGAACTCCTTCGGCTGGGTGCTTTCTTTCCGCAGCACTTGGTAGGCGGGTTCTTTGAACGGGAAGAACGCAAGTAACCTGGGCGCGGCGAAGTTACAAACGGGAGCCTCTGAAATGACTGGGAGCTGGTTACAGGTAACCAGGTTACTTTTGTGCGCGCAGTTGGAAGCGCGCTGGGGTGAACTGTTCAGCCCGCCGCCGCCGGTGGGAAAAAGAATCAAAGTAGGGCCCGAGATCCCGCAGCTCCCCGGGGAGTGCTGAAGGAGCCCAAAGAATCTGCGCGGGGTTTCAGCTTGAGCGACCTTCGCACAGAAATAGTTCGGCTCGTGGATGCAGGTTCAGTTCTGAAACTTAGCCGTGGCACGTGAGATAACGTGGAGTCAGTGGCCAGACTCAGAGCGCTGCCCAGTTCCTTTTCTGGGTACCAAAGGCAGGACTCGGTCCAGGCCCCCCATTGGCCAGGCTGTTAACACCGAGAAAGGGTAAAAAGGACCAAGGTCCGCGGATCCTGCCCTAAATCGCCTGTTTCCCCTGGCCTGGCGCTCATTGCCATTCTGGTCGTGTCTCTCGTCTGGCCAGGCGAGGACTTTCGCCTTTCCCCAGGGCTTACGCACATTTAGAATTTCGCTGGGGACGAGAGCAGCAAAAATAGTCGCCTCACCCTGGAGCGAGCGAGCGAGAGAGACGGAGAGAGAACCCTTTCAGACTCCCCCCCCCCCCCGAGTTAAATGCTAGCGCAGGTCTGGACAGGTTGAGCCACCGCAGCGTGTTTGCCTTTAAAAATGGGGGGTGGGGAGAGAGAAAGAGAGAGGGGGAGGGAGGGAGAGAAAGAGAGAGGGAGAGAGAAAGAGAGGGAGAGGGAGAGAGAGGGAGAAAGAGGGAGAAAGAGGGAGAAAGAGGGAGGGAAGGACAGAGAGAAGAAGAGACTTACCCTATTTTGATATAGACAATCCCTAGGCTCATAAAGATGTGGAATATCCAGCGCCTGGTTTTCCTGTTCATATTCCTCGATCGTCGTTGGTTTTCAGATCAACATGAGAAAGTTATGCCTTTTTTTTGTAAGTGTATTTAAAATAACAAGGATAGTGATAATAACGCCTGCCCCCCTACACGCTCTCTTGCGCCCTGGTGGATTCCTCGGTGCCTCAGACAGTGCAACGCCAGGTCAAAGTAGCTCAGACAAAACAGTCCAGCCCTCCTGCGCTCGGAGCCACCCGGAGCGAGCGGTGTGTGTTTGTAAATCCCAAGAGGCAATCACCATCGCCCTCCACTGGGTCTCTCTCTTCGCTCCCTCTCGATCCCGGATTTGTATGCCTGTCACACGTAGCCCTGGAAAGCTCGCTCGCTTGCGCGCGCGCGGGGAAAGGATGGAAAGGTCTCTCTCTCTCCCTTCGGCGGCGACGGCGGCAGCAGCAACTCGAGAGAATTTTCCCCGCAGGTTCAGCCTTTAGTGTCTCGAACGCTTTTCTCTCTCCTTCAACATACCGGGGCGTGTTCTCCAAAGGAGGGAGTAGTCCAGCCCGGGTGGGGTGGTGGGGGTGGTGGGAAGGGAAAGGAGTCAACTGGTTTGGGGTGGGGGCGAGGGTTGGAAGCGGGATAAAGAAACCGCGCACTGGATCACCTGTTCGCCTTCTTCTCCCGCCTTGCCCCCAAAGCCATCACAATCAAGGATCCTGTGGAAAGTGGCTTCGTTTCTCTCTTGTCCTTGAATTCCTGCAGCAAAAAAAGGGGGCATCCGAGAAACAGTTCTCTAAGTCCTAAACAGGGATTCGATGTCTCTTATCGATCCTCGCTTCCTTCGCCCCGCAACGGGAGCCAGTCCGCCTCCGCCGCCTCCTCTAAGCGAGACCCAGTTTTTCTTGGCTTCTGATTCTGACGGCGAGCTTCCCTTTATCCAGCTCCACTGTCTTCTGCCGGTTCAGGTTGGCGCCTCTCCCTGCTCCCTCCATCCCTCTCTCCTGTTTCTGAAACTGTCCCAAAACCTGACCGATTTTCTCACGCCTTGGGGGGGGGGGGAGAGGAGAGGAGCGCGCCTTCCCCTGGCAATGGACCCGCGGCTTCTACCTGCTTAGGAGCGCGCGCGCGCCCTGCAGGGAGGAAAACAACCACCACCTTCTGCGCGCGAAGCACCTGGAAGCCTGAAGTTAGTAGGGGGTTCCTCTTGGATGGCTGAAGCCTGTGCCTAACTTGGCAGCGCCTATCTCTTGCTTTGCTTCGGTTTCACCCATACACGCCCGCAATATGCGTCGCACCTCCTCACTAAAGGGCGGGGAGGGGAGGGGAGGGGAGGTGGGAGGGAGGTGGCATCAGCGGCAGCGCCGCGAAATGCAACCTTAGGAAGTTTGAAGTCAGTTTTGTTCGCGCCGGTGCCGAAAGCCTGACTCTCGGGACCCTTTAGGTCAGGAGGTCTTCAAACTTGGCCACTTTAAGACTTGTGGACTTCAATTCCTATGCTGGCTGGAGAATTCTGGGAGTTGAAGTCCACAAGTCTTAAAGTGGCCAAGTTTGGGGACCCCTGCTTTATGGTCCTATATGCAGTGTTTTATTAACCATTAAGCGGACTAAGCACGTCCTTAGGGCACCAGGACCAAAGGGGGAAACCCCAAACTTGAGAAAGAAAGGGGGGGGGAATCCAATGAAGATTTGTACAGTATGTACAATGGAGGGGGGCACCAAGATTTGTCAGTGCTTAGGACACCAGTTAGCCTTAATCAGCCACTGCCTATATGCCGCTGCTGCCAGAGCTCTCGGACAACAGCACTCAAAGCAAAAGACTTTCACTGCTTCCCTGGTTTTGTTTAGGTAATTCTCTGACTGATTCATTTCTCCCCCCTCCCTACCGGCGCTCACAACTGCAGTCAGTCCGGTATCCCGCGCGGGATTCTTTGTGGCTCTGAGAGCCAAAGAGCTACCGTGGGCCGGGTGTCACGCAGGTGCGGGTCGTGGCGCTGCTGCTTGAGCGTGTCGAATCCCCTCTGGCGTTTCCTCTTCGGACCTAGGATGTCTCCGGACCCACCTTTAAGCTTGGAGCCCCACTGAGGCCACCAGCCCACCCCCACCCCCGATTCCCATTGACTTTGGGTCCCCTCCCTCTTGGCTCGGCCCCTCCCTCTTGGCTCGGGATGAGGGGGGGGGTCGCTTTTTTCTTTTCACTATCTGCCCTCTGGTCTTAAGCGCCGGAGCTGCCTCCCCACTCCTTTTGCTCCGCTTTCCCGCCCTGCGCTCCGGAGAGACCGCCCGGCCACCGGCGTCGCTGACCCGGGCTTTTATATGATGCTAACCGTGGGACGCAGCTTCGGGGATGATTCAATTCGGAGGCCGATTTCCTTATCGCACACGCAGGAGGGAGGATTGGCCACATGGGAACAATCGGGCGGAGATGCGGTGGGGTAAATGGTTTTGAAAGGGGGGGGGACGCAGAACAGAAATAGCCTCGGTCCACGAGAACTGCTCTCGTCTCGGATGAACCAAACAGGTCAACCAGAATGAAAGTTTCGTCCGGTTTGACAGAGTCGGGACAAAAGCAGCACTTGGCGAATGCTTAGAATTCCACTCTTCTTTCGAATATGAGCTCTTACAACTGCAGAAGTCCGCGTCCGCAAAACACCGTGTATAAGCTGCAGGTCCTCCGCTCCCGTCTTCTCCGCCGGTCAAGGCTGGGAGGCGGGGAAAGTGGAGTTCTTTTCCAGTTTAGAATCCCTTGCCTTGCATAGAGAGTTCATCCTGGCTGCAGAAACTTTTGCCGTTGACTGACTGTCGCTTTAAGTCTCTCTAAATCTCTACTGTATAAACCAGGCGCCAAGTGCTTACTTATTCTCTCCTTGCCTGCCTGTTGCCACGTTTATTTCAGTCTATACCTCTAATCACATTTTGGTAGTTGGCGGGGGGTGGGGGGGATCCTTTGCCTTCAAACCAGTAGTCAACTTTTAAAAAAAATCATAACGCGATATTAAAATAAACAATACACTTTCAAAGCCTAGAAGATGAGCTCTAAAGTTTGTTGAGATAATTCGGAGAAGTGATTTCTTTGTTTTGTTTTTGTAAATACGCCATCTAGTGGAATTAAAGATGAATCGGTGAGATGACCTTTGATAAAGGTGCATTGAAAGGACATTTGATGTGGCCCCCTTTATTCAAATTGGACAGTTTGAACGTGATTCTGTGCAACATTGTTCTTTTATCCGTTAATATTATTTAATTAACAAACACCTGGTTATTTCTTTGGTTCGTGTTGATTTCTTTTGTATTTCCCCCAAATAGGAGACCAGACTAAAAATGTAATTTCGCCCAACCCAAAATAATATTTGGAATAAGAAGAGTAATATTCATTATGCAAGGACAAAGTGTGTAAATATAAGAGTGGGTGGAAAAAGTTGCAATGAACATGATGTTGCAAACCTATTAAAATAATACTTTAAAATTGTCTGAAATGTTGTTTCCAAACCTGGGAAATTATATTTTAATATAAAAAATATAAACTGTACCCTCCTAGGAAGGAACTCCTGACCCATGTAGTTTAGTAGTCTGTTTTCAAAGTGCACAAGTGCACAAGCAAGTCCAGTAGTCTCACTCCCATCAAGACTAATAATACAATCACTTCTGGGTGTCAAAGTCCTAAAATAGTATCAACACTTCAGAAATTACTCAGATCTGTTCCTCATTATGCAGAGACTTAGCTGGGGGGGGGGGGGATATCATGATTGGAACCGTGGAAGGAAATAGAAGACAACGAGAACTAACAGCAGAACAGATGGATCCAGTTACAGTAGGGACGAGAACATCATTGGAACACCTAAAACTGAGGGGCAGACGAAGGAAATCTATGTGATTGTTAAGAATTAATGCCAACTTGGTAGCCCATCAGCATTCAATCAACCAATCAAATATGCTTGTCTCATAAGTAAAAATGACCTTTTTATGCTGGAAGTTGCCTTGAGAAACCAACAGACTTGCCGTCTCTAAGCCTGTGTTGTCTGGAATAACTGAAAAAGACATGCAAAGTTTCAGAGAGGACTTTTTCCAAGTATATAGATACAGATTAACAGACTTGGAAGCAAGGATTAAATGAATTTATCTTTGCTACCAGTTCGCAAATGTGAGCATGCATGCACAGACCTTACCCGTATGCACAGAGCCTCAAAAATGGGACATTATGACATTGCCACCACTAACAGTTCGCCTGAACCAGATAGAACCAACTGAATTGCATCACTGGTTGGAAGGGACCTTGTAGGTCATCTAGTCCAACTCCCACCCAAGCAGACCCTACACCATTTCTGACAGATGACAGTCCAATCTCTTCTTGAAAGCTTTCAGTGATGAAGCTCCCACAACCTTCAAAGGCAAGCTGTTCCAATGGTTGAGTGCTCTCACTGTCAGAAAATTTCTCCTTATTTCCAGGTTGAATCTCTCCTTGTTCAGTTTCCATCCATTATTCCTTGTCTGGCCTTCAGATGTCATAAAAACCATAAGCCATAAAAACCCATAAAAAGGATTGTTCAGACACATTTGTATAGCCTTTGCTATGCTACTAAACTGCAACCCTTCAACAATACAAGCTCATTTCAAGAGGACTTTTACCAGATACATGGCCTGTCGATCCAAAGACTTAATATTAAAATATTGAATACCGTTGAGTGTGTCTGAAATCATAATCTAGAACTCATAAATGGAAATAATGGGGGGGGACAGTCTCCACCAGCAACCACCAGTAACCAAATTGTGTAAAGCCCATTGGGTGTGACCAAAGCTAAGTAATATTAAGTCCCACCGCCACTCGTAGAAACTTGCTTTACTATTAAACTCATTGGGATTTATTAGAAGTCCATTGTGGCTTTAGTGTAGTGATTTACTGCAGTGTAACATTTGCAGCCAAAAGTATTTTAAAATCTAGCTAATAATGAGAAGATAGTTCTCCAAGAACTCTGAAATAAATAAAGTGTACTATCAGCAGTATTAGCAGCAAACTTCACTTGCTTATTTTGTAAGGGTATTTTTTTTAATGAAAAAGGAGATATGTTGCAAGGACAGGGACATTTCTTGCATAAATGCATGGTCACCATAGGCTTCTGCAAGACTGACTTTCCATCTCTTTATTT